AAATCTCGGTCCACTTTTTTCGAGACAATACAAGTCTACCAAAATTTATCGACAGGTGATTATTAAACGAAAATTTTCTGTTACGTTGTGAGGTCAATGGTATCTTTAGTATTATCCAGTTGATGGCATGATATTGCGAGATGTATACGAGCGTTAGCACGACCGCCGTTATGCACGCTTGCGAGTTATATCGATCCTAGTTTCCAGAGTTTATTTGACCGTAACTATCATCTTGAAGGCGAAGAAGGAGCTCTTGATTCTCTCCAGAATGCACAACGAACAGACAATTATGGAGCGGGGAAAGTGCCACTTAAACGTCAGTTCAATGGTACGCGCCAACGCTAATTAGATGGTGTTTAAGACCAGGCACGTGGAAAATGAGCGGGACGATAAGCGATCACGGCCGAATACAGTTGTTGGCCGGGTATTGTATCGCAGGTAGTTCTCCGGGATTTCCGATGCCGACCTGTTTCTTCGCCCATGACGATAGGTCCTTTCCCTTCAATCTCCATGTCAGAGGAAACGCCCTCGGTCGATTCTCCTCCGCTGTGGAATTTCGAGGAGTCTGCGAAAGATCGGTCGGGATTTCGAGAGTAGCGACGCGACCCTCTTTTGTCAGATTTAAATAAAATCTCGCTTGCCAATAGTGATACTGTAGAGATATATCGTGCCTACTTCACACATATACGCATACACGCACATACATATACGCGCGCGCGCGTGGACATACATGTATGCGCATGAGCAGATGAATTAAGGTAAATGGTCACTCACCTAGGAGGGAAAGAGAGAAAGAGAGGGGGGAGAGAGAGAGAGAGAGAGAGAGAGAGAGAGAGAGAGAGAGAGAAGGAGAGGTACCTTGATCGTAGAAATTCGAAAATCTTTGGAACGACAATTTTCCCGTACATTTGCCAAATTAGAACTGTAATTTCAACGGTGCTTTCGGCATTTACGACATTTTTAAAAGAAGAAAACGTTGGGCAATATGTTATAAGATAAAGCGACTATAAGCCTCTCACAGTGGAACGCTTCATGAAATTTTAAGATTGTACTGGTCGTAGCTCTAACACGCAGCAGTCTGAGACGAAATGCGTGTACGGATATATTATGTAGTTCGTAGCAGCAGGGAGCTATTTTCTGTGTCGTAAGAATGGACTAGGGATACTAGACACGTTGATATGTATCATATGAGCATGACACAATGCTAACACGCTAACCTTTAACTGCTAATACGATGATGTCGTGTGTATTGGTATTGGGTTGTTCAGAAAATAATTTCGGTTTTTTGCATAAAAATGAAAGATGTTTAACAGAAAGAAAAGTTTTAACAGAAAGAAAAGTTTTATTTTGTTAAGTATTGACCATTTTGTTTTAACACCTTTTGCCATCTTTGAGCTAATAACATGATGATCCCACATTCGTAGAACTTTTGGTCCTTATTGGCAAAAAACTGAATTAAATGGTTGTTGACACCTTTATTTGAATGAAATTTTTACCATCCAAAGAATTTTACAGTGACTGAAACAAATGATAATCGGATGGTATTAGATCAGGTGAATATGGTGGATGTGGTAACAAATCCGATCCAAACGCTAACAGCTTCTGACGAGTCATTAAATTTGAAGTCTGGCATTGTGTCTGGCATAATGAAACACAACACCTTGTCTGTTCGCCAGTTCTGGTCTCTTGTGCTTGATGGAATCATTCAATTTGTCCAATTGATGACAATACACTTGAATCAATCGTTTGATTGTTTGGTAGCAGCTCAAAAAAAGAAAAACCTTTCCTTTCCAATCCCACCAAATAGAGAGCATCATCTTCTTTTGATGGATCAGCTTTCGATGTGTTTTGAGCTGGTTCACGTCTACTCCATGATCTTCTGCGTTTAATATTATTATACACAATTTATTTTTCATCTCCAGTTATGAGTCCTTTCAGAAACCGAGATCGTTTTCCTCACGTTTCAACAGCAAATCGCAGATGGTAATGCATCGAATCAAATCTCTTTCTTTAAAAACGTGTAGAACTCAAATAACGAGCTTTGAAACGAAACCAAGTTGTTTCAAATGCTCATGCGCGGTCGAATTCGACGATAAATTCAATCTCTCAGCAATTTCTCGTATTGTTAAATGACGAATTGCGTCTATCAATGCCTTTATTTGGTCTTCATTAGCCTTAACTGGCTTTTCAGAACGTGGTGCATCTTTGAGGTCAAAATTCCCAGAATGAAATTTTGAAAACCAATTCTGACACTGGCGTTCAGTCAACACATCCTTTCCATGCACGGCACACAATTTTTTTCTTACTTGCGCTGCATTGTTGCCTTTACGATAATAAAAAAGCAAAATGTGACGAAAATGCTCACGTTAGTTTTTCATTTTTAATGCGACGCCAAACAAAAACAACTTAACAGATTCCAAAACAATTTTTTTTCAAATAAAGCTTGAAATGTGCGTTGTATAAATGTAAAATGATTTTCTGGCCTAGAATAAGGTTAACTGCTTAAAAAGACAACTAATACCATCTATTTGAAAAAAACCGAAATTTCCGAACAACCCAATAGAATATACGCCGCGTTGTAACACGCAACACACGTCGAAAATCGATGCACGAGATTACGCGCGTCTTCCTGTGTATCTTTTCACGGGAAGAAGTAACGCATCTCGTGAATTTACGATGCAATCGGATCACACGGATCTATTCGATTCGTGGGACGAGTTGCCGTAAATTAATCGTGGATTTTGCCTGTCTAGCATGTTGGTGTAACATGTTAACGCATAGATTGCCATGAAGATCACCATTATAATATTTGCCGCGTTTTATTAACTTACATATGAACTATTACTAATTGCATACAACAAATTAAATACATAAATTATATAGTTGTAACAGTGGCGTATTTTACGCCTGTTTACATAAATTGAAAATTTGAAATTCTTTTTTTGGCAAAAATGTTAAGGCATCGATATCTTCTGAGATTTAATTAATAGAGAAAGCGAAATTTTTCAAGCGACTTTCAATATTTTCAAATAGACTATTCCAACAAACTTTTAATCTGTGGCTTAGCTTCAAAAGTGTATTGTTCTAAGATGTTGAAAATTCAAAAATAGCTGCTGATGACTTTTTTCCATAAAAGAGTTTCAAAAGATTTCATGAGGAATAACATTAGAAAAATAACAGATGCGAATTACCGGACACTCTGTATATATACATAAAGAGTATTTTTTTTTATGTAAATTCTCTTCTTAATTTTACAATGTTTTCTAGTAATTCAGAAATAAACTGTCAGTAGAGTTTATTTCGATAAAAAATATTGTGAACTTTTAAATACGTAGTATTTAATATATATAGATTATAGATTGAAATTTTTAAAACAGCACATACCAGACGAGAGCGAAATAAATTAAAACGGAATACCGATATGTTCCTCGACTACAAAATTATATATTTAATAATTGTTGTTATAAAATTATTTCTCCTCATGAAAGAGAAAGCCATCGAAATGAGCTAACAAATATATGCATCGTGCATTGTACTCGTACTTATTTGAAACATTTTTTATGATTCTCTTAAATTTTAATTGAGCATTGAAATAAACACTGGAAATCAACGTAGCAGTCAACGTGTTAATATTCGTCTACGTCAATCATAACATTGATTGATTGATTGTAAGCTGTTATAATACTAGTTGAATGATTCTTTAACGCTTTCGCAGACTCATCGTAAGAGTTGACTTTAACTTTTACGATCTATAACGATTGCTTGATTTATAGCCAATTGTCAGCCAATTCAAACAGTCAATTAAATGTTTTTAACGATGTTTTGAATGAGGAGTTGCGATTTATAGACAGGCAATGTTTGTTTCTTATGACTACGACTGATATTATAATATGAACAGACGTTTAAATGTCGTGACAGTTACTGATGATCAGCATTGTGATACTATCATATTTTACTAGTTATGTATAAAATACAATTAACTATATTTGAAAAGTCGACTATATGGCTAATAAAGAGTCAATGGAGAAAAAAAGAATACACGAAGAGAGAGAGAGAGAGAGAGAGAGAGAGAGAGAGAGAGAGAGAGAGAGAGAGAAAGAGAGAGAAAGTATTACAGCACTTTTCATTTAAATTTTCACATCTTTTCACATTCTTTTTATTTTTAGTACTGCAGGAATATATTATAAGTAGAATTGATCTTACTGTAAAACGGTAAATTGTTTAACAGTATATAGCGCTCAGTAGCACACAATATTTCAGTGTCTGATTTATAAATAGTATGAAATGAAAGAATAATAAATTATGACAGAGTGTATCTCGTACATCGGTATTTCGGGTCTCTCTCTCTCTCTCTCTCTCTCTCTCTCTTTCTCTCCTTCTTTCTCCTTTTTTCTCTTTCCTTTAGTTACAAAACTTTAAAATAATATTTGCTCTAAAAGTTTCTCTCCATGTATTTGTTACATCTCTACATGTAACAATTTATTCCGAATTAGATATAACAAACCAAGATATAATCAACCAAATCCTAGAAATGTCCTGGTCTAATTTTTTTGTTAACTGAAGAGAGAGACACATATACATGTAGCACACATATGAGACACATATGCAAGAGCTATATTAGATTATTGAAGATTGAAATCTGACCAATCGAGATAACTCGGGCTAACACGAACATTAAGTCAAATTCCAATTTCTAACTCGCAATCTTGAATATCCAATATTAGTTTGATACAGGCTTTATGTGCATGATTTCACTAGAGATAGAACAGAGTAGGTAACTTTCAAAATTGCTTTACTATAACAGATGCGCTTGGGGTTAAATCGATGTCCATGAGTGTATATGCATCCCAAATTACGTTTATTTACTACATCTAATTGGTAATTCAATCATCGGTTGAACTGTTGCATACTCAACAGAAATCAATGCGGCAATATCGGCGTGTATAAGATGTTAAGATTAAGAAAAAATGCGATCAAGAAAAAACGATGTAAAAACGTACTCGTTCGGGTCGCTTGACGTATGATACAGATTCAGGTCCTGGAATACCACTTGCACCCGTTCCTTTCCTCTTCCTTGGAATTCGTATGTACAATGTGTCCTGGATGGATATGGATTCGGGTATGCTGGCGACATGACTACACCGGTTTTTGTTGAATCACTGTTGTAAACCACATCGCAGAGTGACGCTGTAACAAAAGAGACACACGGGGACTTAACGAGCGGCAACAGTCGTCGACTAAAGGCGAACGTAACGAAAGCAATTAATTGATGTGCGACCAAAGAGGGAGAGAGAGAGAGAGAGAGAGAGAGAGAGAGAGAGAGAGAGAGAGAGAGAGAGAGAGAGAGAGAGAGAGAAAGGCAGAGAATGAGAGAAAAAAAGGGCAATTAAATTACGCAATGGCCTCATTCGTTGTAGCGTTCATTTTTCGCACCGAAAGATACATTGTCACAGTTAAATTATGAATATTTCGTGTTTTAATTACAAGTGGTCGCGCATCGACGGCTCGCTGCAGTATGCAAACGAGTGCTGTCGCTGTGCCGTGCCGCACGAAAATCACGCAAAGACTGCAAAAGCGCAATAATAATTATCATACATACTTATTAGTTACATTAGCGAGAAAATTAGTGATGCTCCGGTAATTAGGATATACGACACAAATTTTTCACAATTTCGCCCTTGAGAAGACACGATGATGAATACGCAAGGGAGGCATGCTCTCGCTAACAGCACCGATTAAACCTCGGACGACTCATCTGTCAGCGAGGGAATTATATAAATTTCGTAATGCAAATAGGCTTTACGTTCTCAGCGCTGTAATATTTCTTTTCGCAGTACTCCCGTCTCCGTCTGCATAAGTCTGTATCATTCGCGCGGCATTAAGATTGAGCGAATCCCACGGAGAGCAAGGCACACGAAATTATTTAATGTGATAAATATCTTAACCCGCGCGCGTTGCCGCGTATAACGGCGCCACGATTGTGGCGTATATTCGTTTCGAGTCTCTATGCTTTAATCTTCCTGACAGTTATTAATCTTTCCGTAATTTAACGCCGGAATCGCTGAGGTACGTTCTTGCAAGATGAATCTCTCGAAGAAATGCCGTCATTAGGCAAACCCCGGCGATACGGAGGTGAGCGCGTATGTATTTGTGCATTTCCTTGCGAATATTTTTTTTCATGCAATCTCCGTTACGCACGAATTTTTGCTCACGGTAGATAAACCGATGCGATATCTATTCGCGTGTAACCCATTAGTTTCATCGTGGCGCAACTGCAAAATTTGGAATTAACACACAGTTCATTGGAAGGATCGAATAAGCACTTGCATCTCCGTGTGCCCGATATATCACGATAAAAAAAAAAAACAAGACAATCTGCGATATGACATTGTTATTGGCGACTGTTTTCGCGCGCAAGGTCTTCTTCAGATTCGCGCGGACAATCGCGTTCGGAAAGTGTTAACTTATCGACTTGGTTCTCAGAGCTAGTCTGCTATAATTAATATTACTACATGGTGCGTGTAATCAGACACCGGAAAGCCGAATTCAATAATGCATCGTTGAATACGGAGCTCGCTATAATTCACCGTCTGGCTGCACAATATATCTGGGATTCGAAATGTTGCCGTGTCTACGACACGAAGAAATTCGATAAAACTGTCATTTGGCGAAGGTCAAATCCCTGCAATCTCAGCGACTTAAAGCTATCGACACGAAACCGACAATGGCTTTTATCGAGTTTGGAAAAAAGTAACGCAATATCGGCTAGGCAACCAGCCATCTTAACGATCTTAGGTGCAACGCGTGGACTTGTATACCTGCTATATATATATATGATGTATATATATATATATATATATATACATCATATACATATATATATATATATGTATATATATATATATATATATATATATATACTTATAGCGTTTCTTATTTGACCCCGCGAGCTGACGAGACGAGATATTTGTATCAATTCCGGCATGGCGCTTTCAACAGTCACGCCCGAGAGGGAAAGGTGGATGCGTCGATAGACGCGACGCAGATTCGATGCGCTGAAACTGAAAAGACGCAAGATATCAATGCGTCGCGTCGTCGTTGGTCATGAATGTTGTATGAGTGTTTGTATCAGAAGTGAACTTATCTCGAACTTTGCGACGCGAGAATATTGGAACATCGTTCGCGAGCCGCGCACACACGAGCTCTCTTTCCTTTAGATCCTGTCTTTCTTTCCCTTAACGTCGTTTTTAGCTCGATTTCCGCTTCAAGAGACTTATGCCGACGGTAATGCGCTCGCGACATGTGTTAAGAAGCACGGAGGTATCGATGAAATATTTGATAACAACAAGGCAAACCTTTTACCATATTGCGACCTGTCAACTTCGACACTGACATGTTTATCGATCGACGTCAAACCTTAATTCTTAAATGGAGAAATTGCGTCTACCATTAATTTCTTTTGGTCTCTCGGTCGTCCCATCAATGTATAATTCTCTCCTCAACAGCATTATTGGAAATGCTGGACTGGAAATGGGCATTATGCCGCACCATAATGGCCGCCATCTAAAGCTTTCTTATTGTTGAGCATTGCATTGCGTTATATATTTGCGGAGAAACTTAGGAGAATGCGCGCGCCATAAAAATAAAAAAAATAAGACAGAAAGAGGGATGGAAAGAGAGCGAGAGCGAGAAAGAGAAAAAGAGGAGAGGAAAAAAAGGAAACGGACATTATACGATTTTGCGGGCATCTAATGTCGCGAAAATGGTATGCAACGCTGCTTTGTGTAAGCTCGCGTTATGCTGACCACGTTTAACGGTATTCGATTAAAAATACATTAACTCTTGGAGAAATTCAGCTTTGTCCCGCTACGCACTACTTAGAAATATATTTCCATTAATTAATTTACAGATTTACCGACGCAGAGGAGACGAATGCGATTTTTTTTCGTTAATTTGTATGTTGCGTGTCTTTTATATTAGCGTCGGTAAGCCGGCAACCCACGAAAGTTATCGACTTTTGAACATCGTTTGTAAAAGGCCAAATAACTGACACCAGAAAAGAGATGCGCGTACAGCAGAAGCGGCGAGCGTTTTAATTTGCATTCATGAGCCGTCGTCTCAAAATTCTTAGAGACACTGAATATTCCCAGTACGTTTCCCCGTTATATTTGAGGAACGAATTCACTTAGAGCGATCAATTCCTATGCTCGTGCGGATATTGTGTCGTCAGACGTGGCTGTTCCGGTGAGATTGGCAATCGTGACGATTTTAAGAATGGTGGATCGCCGTTTAAGTAAACTATCATATATTATGTATGAGAGGAACGATATTAGAAGGGAGGAGAGAGACGGTATCGTTTTTTCCAGAAAAATTCCATTTGCGTCGGCATTTTTGTAGCTGCAAGTTAAAATTGCGTGTGCGCCGCCTTAAATCTCCCATTTCCCCGGATACTAATAATTAATAAAAGCCCGATATTAATGAGATTTAATCCGAAAACGACGCAATTTCATGTTGATGTTTTATTTGCGGACAAAAAAGAGCTTTCAAAAGCACCCTCCCTATATATTAGGTATACAAATGAATAATCCAAACTTTTTTAAGAGGCTAAGAAATTAAGTTTCAAATAATCAAATTTTCCCGTTCTTTTACGGTTATGTATGTAGTGTTGACATATAGCTATTATATACATACCAACATATAGCTACCAAGGTCCGTAAATAAAAGAACGGGATAAGGTAAAGTCCTCTGGCGTCCGCCATTTTCGAGCCAGAGAATCTGTATCGGTATACGTGATACTATATACGTATAGTATTATGGTTTAGTTGTGTGAGTGAACAGAGTAATGAAAACATAGTTTAAGATGTAAGTAAATAGTTTAAACACATTCCAAAATACCAGTGAGAATTTTCAGAAAAAAAAACAATTACAATGCCGGCTATAAAAACTTATAAAAAGTACAAAAAATTGGAAAAAACGAAAATAATTTGACATGACGGTATGTGGTTAATCAGCTGAGCCACATGGTCATTTTCGAGTTAAACCATGTGAAGTAGATGAGAGGACCTTGTTTCATTCTTCTATTTACGGACTTTGAGCTGTTACAAATTACATTTAGTATGACGGAAGGCTCAACATAACCTCAATAATTATTTCGTTCAGTGCAGTCAAAAATGGCAACAGATAAGGTGCATATCCGACACTGCATTCTTTACGAATTCCAACAAGGAAAAATGCTGCAAAAGCACACGAATCGATTTGTGCCTTTCTTGAAAGTGTTGTATCGTACGATGTGTGTGCATTTTGGTTTAGACGATTTAAAAGCGGCGATTTCAGTTTGAGTAACAAAGAACGTCCTGGAGACCCTCAAAAGTGCGGTAACAATGATTTGAAGCAACTGCTCGCTGAAAATTCAGCACAAATGCATAAAGAGCTTGCAGAGCAATTAGGAGTAACGCAACAAACGCCTGGACGAGATGGGGAAGATTCAGAAAGAAGGAAAATAGGTTCGGCATTAACTCACTGAGGCCAACAAAAATCAACGAGTGGCAGTATGTCTTTCTCTTCTCAATAAGCAGCGTAGAAAGTCTTTCTTGTGGAAAATTGTTACGGGCGATGGGAAGTGATTATTCTCTGACAATTCGAAACACAGAAAGTCCATGGGTAAATCCCAGCGAAAATCAACATCGGTCGCAAAGCCAAACACCTCAGAAAGAAGATTCTGCTCTGCATTTGGTAGTATATGAAGGACGTGATTTATTATGAGCTAATAAAACCGAATGAAACAATTACTACGGACCGCTACCAATACCAATTAATCCGTTTAAGTCAAAAACTGGAACGAAAACACCCGTATAATGGCAAAGGAGATCATCCTGTTTATAAAATTGTTGCATGATAACGTTAGGCTACATTGCTTCTACGACAAAAAACATCATAATGAGTCCAAATGAGTCTGGATTGGGACTTCTTGCAGCACCAGACATCGCTTCTACCGATTACCACTTATTCTAGTCGATACAACGTGCTTTGTCCGGTATGCATTTCAAATCAATAGATGAGATTCGGAAATGGCTTGACGACTTTATCGTGTCCAAAGACACAACATTTTTCCGACACAGAATTCATGAGCTGCCTGAAAGATAAAGTTATAGAAAATAACGGCGAATACTTTGATTGACAAATTTGTT